GAACTGCTGACCTTGAGGTTAGCAGCCTGATTTGTAACCACTATGCTACCAGGGCTCCTTAATAAAGCTATTACCTGGGGGGAGGGTAGTATTAAAAAGAGGAAAATCAGGGGATAGTTACTTGTCTTGCCCAGGAACCCCGTTCACATTTTCAACAGAGAGCTAGCTGCCCAAAGACCTTAACACAAAACTGGCTGCTGCATTTTCAGGGCTGAGGCTTGAGGTACTGAAATCTGCTCCAGAAGGCAGACTCTGGGGTCCCACTGTCAGGTCTAAAGCCTGGCTCTGATGTTTACAAGTTACACAAACAAAAGGCCCAACCTTAACCTTTCTGTGCCTGCTTCCTCATCTGTAAAATGGGGATTTCCTGCCACTTCTAAAACATTTCAAGCTTGTGGGTGAGCAGCTTCACACCAGTCCCCTGCTAGGATCTTGAGGACTGCAGGGTCCCAATCCTCAGATGGAGAAGTTGGAGAAGCAGGGAACCAGTAAGGGATGAGGAATTCACTGCCGTAACTCCTGCACTTCTGAGACTCAGGGACAGGCATCCTCAGCAAAGCCCTTCATACGTGTCACCAAATGCTAACAATGTGTCTTCTTCCTTTCTCTCCCCACTCACCCTGATGGGTAGGAAGGAGGACAAGAATCACCAAGCAGTTGTGACTGAGTTCATTCCAACTCCTGGTGATGCCAACATGTGAGTCAGAGTAGAACTGTGCTCTGTGGGTTTCCAATGGCTGACTCTTTGAAAGTAGGTCACTGGCCTTCCTTCCGAAGTGCATCTGGGTGGACTTGAATCTCCAACCCTGAATACCAGCAGAGCACATTCATGTTCGTACCACCCAAGGCAAGAATAATAGACTCATACTGTAGATGAGAAACCTGAGGCAGGTTCCCAGAGGTCTGGTGACAGCTTCAGGCAGCGCTGGCGTGAGGAGAACCTTCTGTCTCCCAGCTGAGTCCTCTCCGCAGAGAATCCTGAAGCAGGAAACCACAGTGGTTATGGTAAAGTTCAGGCAAAGCCTGAGGCTGAGATGAAAGGAGAGGACGAGGCCTCCCTCAGGGGCACCCAGGTCACAGCTGTGTTTCTGTTGGCAGCCTGGCACATAAAGTTCTACCTGATAAGCCCTCCTTTGGTCTCAAGAATGCACTTGCTCAGGCAGATGCCTCTTCTCCTAGTACGGGCTCTCATGGTTCTAGAATGTGGGCAGCCCAGTGAGAGCTAACACCCTCTGCACTGGGTGTCCAACACTGGGTACAAGGACCATCCCTGGCACCCCCAAGCACTTTGGGGCATCTTATCTGTCTCTGGGACCTCAGGATGCTCAGTGGGAACAGAGAACTGAGGAAGAATGCCTTCTCTGCCAAGCATTTCAAGGTGGCTTGTGGGTTAGTACTTTGTGAGGGCCATTTCTGTTGGTAGCCATCTCTGAGCCCCAGCCTGCAGGTCCCCAGTAGATACGCCCAGGACCCTCATCACTGGTCCTCACCCTCCAGCTGCACCAAGAGCTCTGGGAGGGCAGGAACCGACATTGCTGTGCTTCCCATTGTATCCTCAGCTCTTCGGACATGCCTGGCCCAGACGAGGGTCTCCATCCACTTTTCACAGTTAGTTGTACAAACAAGGGTAAAATACCAGTTAGAATAACCATAAAGATGTCTTTTCATCCTGCAAATCCTCCCTGTGGTAATCAGAATGACACTTGGTTCATAGTGGGCACTCCATGTTGTTGTTAAGTACCATTGAATCGGTACCAACTCATAGCAACCTTAGGCACCACAGAATGAAATACTGCCCGATTCTGGGCCAATCTCACTATCATTGCCATGCTTGAGCTCACCGATGCTGCCACTTGGCCAATTCATCTTGCTGGGGGTCTTCCTCTTTTTCTCTGACCCTCCACCTTCTCCAGCGACTGGTCCCTCCTGACACTATGTCTGAAGTATGAGAGACGAAGTTTGGCCATCCTAGCCTCCAAGGAGCA